ATTTGAGAGTATATCTCTAGATTTGAGAATATATATTTCTCGATTGAAGAATATATTTGCAGATTTAGGAATATATATTTCTAGATTTGAGAACATATATCTAGATTTGAGAATATATATCTAGATTTGAGAGTATATTTCTAGATTTGAGAACATATATCTAGATTTGAGAATATATATCTAGATTTGAGAGTATATTTCTAGATTTATGAACATATTTCTAGATTTAAGAATATATTATTAAAGCTTTGCACCATAAGGCTGCACAGATATAGGGATTAAATAATTGAATAATTTAATAAACTAAATTGGTTAGTTCAGGGTATGAGAGTAAATCAGTCACCATCTTTCCTATTGATAAGTTGTTTAAAAGAAATCCTCTGATGGGAGGTTGCGTGAATGTTAAATAGCATGTTTTAAAATGTTCTCCGGTGGGAGGTTGCGTGAATAATTCTTACTCCGTTTCATCTAGCTCCGGCTCCGGTGGGCCGGAGCAAAAAAATATGCTGCTACTATCTTCCAGCATTCCCTTATAATATTGTTTTATCAAAGAAATTTTGCTCTACAATGAATATGTTTGATATATGTATAGTAATAAAATAAAATATTGAATTTTAACTAAGAAATAAATAAACAAAAGCAATTTTCTGACAGTATTTAAAAAACAATGAGTGAACAGTAAACTAATAATGAAATCTCTTTTTTTTAAAGAAAAACAATGATTTTTATTTAATTTAATAAAAATTTGAATCTCTTAAATTTGTTAATAAAATATATAACAAAGATGTATACTAAATGTTAGTGATTCCTAAGTAGGGGTTCATTTTCTATGACACCCATATCATAGTCCGTTAATCCTAAAAACAATTATTTATTAATTTTAACTCTGAAACCAAATATATTTTTATTTGGATCATTTTGTCTCAGACCCTCTTTAGAGACACTGACACTTTTTTTAAACTATTTTTTTTTGGCTAATCCATAGGAGACTTAAATCAAAATAGAAAAATTACAATTTAGAAATATTATATTTATATGTTAGTTGTAGAAAAATAAAAAATGCCACAAGGTGTCCCACGAAACATGACAGTTGAGAGATGACTTGAAGACCGTCTTACAAATTTGTGGCATTCATTCGTCAAAGAAATTCCCTGCATTTCAAAATTGTGGTCTGCCTTTTTTATGCTTTCAAAATAACCAGGGAAATAAAGAATTTCGTTCTGATTTAGACATTTTGGTTTTATTAATTCAATCGAAATCTGAATGAAAAGGTTAAGGAAAAGAGAGTTTGGACCTTGGATAATTTTACAATTACCTGCAAAAGTTGAGCCGAAAAGAAGAAGGAGCAACATTATTGTATTTTTTTATTGTTTTCTTTCCATTACATCTTTTCACTTCCTTTAGATTAACTTAACTTACTTACTTTCAATTTACACTTTTCATATCATTTCTAGGTTTATTTTTACATACTCTCTATTCAATGATTAACTAAACCTTATACCATATATTCAGGAGATAGATAGATAGATTATCAGGTATATATTGACGGGCTCCTATTGGTACAAGTAGTAACTTCAACGCGGTTAACCCTGTGTGTTGGTGCACCACACAAAATCACGTACCGCGAAGTACAGGGTGTCCCAATAAACATGGAATTCAGTGACGAATTCGATATCGTCTTTTTAAATAATTCTTTGATTTAGCATAGTGATACCTACTGAGAAAGCTGTAAGAGTTTCGTCTGCTTTGTTCACATTTTGTTTGTTTATGTTTTGACTGCATACGGTTGTACTTAGTAAAACAAGAACATTGCAGTATACAAACAGAGTAAACTTGTCCGTCTACACTGTTCATCTTGCGGAGACATTATAGGCAATTCTTTACAGTCTTTTACCCTTTTCATAAAATAAACTCTAGCAGACATAATACTACTATGGCTTTTGAAATAAGGTATTACAATGCTAATTCATAACAAAGACGATATCCAATTCGTCACTGAATTCCCATGTTTTTGGGACACCCTGTATAATGATCATTCTATTGAATTCACTAAAAAGATGATTTGATGATAGGCAAAAGACCATTAATAGAAAGAAGGAACAAAATTTCAGAAGACTAATTTACAGAAGAAAGTTGTAACAATAATCACGAAATGGTTAGAATCAAGATTTTATTTTTGGAGCGGGGGAAGGCAGACGGCTATAAGCCACAAACGTTCGGTCTTCCATGCCACATGCCATATTACTGGGCTATAATTAGGTAATGAGCCCCCTGGCCTCCCCTCTCCTAAAAGTAAAAAATGTGGTTTCCTACCCATGAGACTGAGCACCCCCTATCCGATAAAGATGACGAAAGGTTAAAACCCGGGAAAATTCCTGTTTACGTCTCTATGATGCTAGGTTCCCAGATTGCAGAGATAAGAGAGTTACAGAGATCGATTAACACCTATAATATGCGATATTTTCCACAGCATGTTCTATTGTGTAAAAGGACTGTACACTACCAATCAGAAGACATCTGTATTTAGGGATAATTCAGGATCATTTCAATAGGAAATGCAAAATCTTTAAAAATAGACAATGTTCATAAACGTTATGTTTTATTTTTTAAATCGGAGTATTTCTTTAAAGTTGTAAAACTTAACCCCTGAATGCAACTCATGCAACAAATGGCCGTGAGATGTCAGTCAAAAAATATTGCATGGAACCGTAGCATGGCGTTCCGGGACACTATAGGCCTGCTAGCCTATCCAGGTAGTGTATGAGCAGTCTGTGTAGTCTGTGCCATATTGTAAAGATATTCAAAATACTAGTACTTAATATCAGAAAACTCTGAAATAGGATGACGACTTTTAGACTCAAGTTAGGACTTTAAATAATTCAATGAACATTAAACACAGCAATTGTGCAGTGCTAACAGGCCCATTTCACTTAATATAATATAGATAAGTATCTAGCAAAACTATTTACAGTGTGACGTCAAATAAAGTGTTGTTGTAATGTCGTCTTATTTTCTAGTTATCACTGTCTGTGGAAACAAATTCTACTCTATAAATTGTATAGTTAAAAATTAGTTTAGTCTTAAGTAGTGTATATTATATTAAATAAAAAAGCTATTTACATGTCATTGATAACAATAAAAACTATCGGTAAACACAAATATGTATATTGTAGATAGAGAACTGTACAGAAAACAAAATGGTCTCTTCATACCGGGATTGCGGCGGTTTTTGGTAACGGTTAAAAAAGTACATTGTACAGTGTACAATATGCACAAATATGTACATTATACATTGTAGTAAACAACTCAATATTGATAAACTAACATTGTCATTTATACAGAGAAGATTGTTCTTTCATCTCTTTTCGATAAACTGTATACATGCGTCGAAATAAGATTATTTAAAAGTATAACTATGATTATAATTTCTTCAATTCATCCATTTTCTGCAGTTTTTAGCTTCACACATACAGGGAATTCGATTCTCGTCCTCATAGTCAAACTAAAAACAATTTCTTTAGAAATTTTAATTAAAAACACAAAAATTGTGCAACTAATTAATTAAGGTTTTATGACTTAATAAGTCTGCACTTCACCTCTAGCGATACCAAACTACGCCTATGTAATGATAATGATAAAATGAACAGTTAGCTAATTAGCTAAATGACAAACCGACTAAATGAATTTTTGCCTTGATGACTTTATAACTAAATGACTTAATGGCAAAATGACTTAGTGACTAAATACCTTCAAAACTAAATGACTTCATGACCACTTGACTAAATAAGAAAATTTACTGACCGACATAATGACTGAATGACTTAGTGACTTTATTACTAAAAGACTAAATGGCTCAACTAAAAAATTGATTACAATTTTTTAAGTTGCATGTACTTTTCATTGCATTTCCATAATTATAAGATAAATATTTGTATTATGCTTTATTGCAGCGGATATCCGACAATAATAAAAAATATGGAAAAATACCTTGTAGTCGTATGAGAGTTCCTCTCCTCTATTGATTCTACGGTTTGCAAATATAATAATATGCCAATCTGCCAGCTCAACAGTTTCAGTCACACAGTTAGGATCACAACTAAAATAATATTATTAGGTATAATGCTCCATTTGTTTCTTATAAAATATTAAAGTATTCGGCGTTTGTATCAATACAATGAAGGCGACTTGTCTACTTAAGTTTTTATTTCTAACAAGCCTTTAAAATTACAAGTTTACAAGTAAACAAAAGAGAAACTGTTAATTGACAGCCTTTCATGGTTTTCATGTTTGTGTTTGAAAGCGTGATTGAAAGCAAAATTATACTCGAAAGTCGTTTTTATTATATTGATAAATACGACGACTGTATATTTTGTATAATTAATTACCTATGGTTGATGTATCTAGCAACCCCTCCTGATAGAGTTGCATCCACAACTCTTTCATCATCCAGGCGGAACATGTAGATCCCACGGTTCTGGGATTCATATCTTTTCTCTCTAATATCTGTCAGGTTGGACCTGATCACCTCTCCGATATACTCAATGATCATCTGACCCTTCTCCAGGTCCCTGGCCGCATAGAGTCCTAAACCTTGAATTTTTGAGCGTGCAAGAACAACATTTTGGCGCCACTCCTGCTTCATTTTCCTGTACTGAGAGCTTTTGGACTGGACAAAATTCTTGCTGTAGGGTCCAACAGTTTCTAATCCTATCAGGAAATCCCCGAAATCTTTAGCAACCCTTTGATTTGTCTCCTTAGTTGCTCCAGTGCTTCTCTGGAAATTATGAATCCGTTTAACATGAGTTCTCAGCTTTGGTTCGGATCTAGCACATCCAGTAGGATTGACAGCTAAGGGAAGTTCCAGCATAGGATTACGTCCATATTTAAAAGTGTAATCTGTCAAAGACTCTATTCCAGGTAAACTCTCTAAAACCTTGATAATGTTGGGCTCAGTAAAACCAAACAAATCCTCGCCAGAAATATAGGGAGGGAAGATTTTAGTATTATCTGACTTTTTCCTCAGTTTCTCTATCTCAGCAAGGATGGGAGTCCAGGCACCGAGACAAGTTAGATCTTTGAAAATTATATTCTCATGGCCGGGTTCTTCAACTTCAACCACAAACTCAGGTCGATTATCTACATCAGCAATACTGCAGAAATATTTGCATCTCTTGTTGACATTCCTCATTGACCAATAAAAACGAAGAATCTTGTACCCAATTGGATAGATAAAGTTCTCACTATGGAAAGTATTCAGCTGATGTGGCAGTAGTTGACCAACACTTAAGAAGGTCAGCGCTCCAATTCTGAGGACATTACTCTCCATACCTGTTGACATGACATTAGCCACTTGTCTATTCTCATCCCGCTCTATATACACTCTTCTGTAAACAGCCAAGGTTGTTAATTCATTATCTTTCTCCCCTTTAGGCTGATGCTGATTACAGAATAAAGTTTTGTTCTTGTAAAACGTACATCCATCCTTTACAGCACAATTAAGATGGTAAAGGTTGGTACAACGAGTTTTGAAACATTTAATGGTTGCATGATTTTTCTCACAGATATTACAGAAGGAATTCACACTGTTCTTCAAAGCAGTTTCAACATTTACCAGGGCACCAGATACAGTTTCATAAACTTCTTCTGACCAAAGAGCACAGTTCAGATGAACCCATTTATCAACCTCGTAATTAAGAAGACGAGCAGGTCCATCAGCTGCCGCATCTCCCCGCATGTGACAGAAAAGACACTGACGAACATCTTCAGCTTCTCTTGGTGGCATCATGGTGATTCCAAGCTGGAACATCATCTGGGTTAAATCCTTCTCATTCATTATCTTATTCTTGCGCTGATTTCCCATACTCATAGTCCAGTTCTTATAATGTAATCCCTTGAATAAAGGACCCTTTTTCTCATCCTTCTTAGGAGTATCCATGAGACAACCTTCCTCTCTATACCTGGTCTGATAGTCTTCAAGCTGCTTCAAGCTCTTTATCTTTTCAGGGATCTGAATCCCAGTTTTCTTAAGAGAGAAATTCAAGTAACAAGATTCATCACAGAAAAGTAAATCATCACAAGACTCATCCTTTTCAGGTTTAGTGAGAAATGGGAGATCAGACGACTTCTTTTTTACCATGTCATGCTGGATTACCATTTCACACTGCCGGCAGATCTTAGAACTTCGGTTTAGAACAGATTGGAGATCAAGGGGGACTCCATCTTTGCCAAGATCTCTCTTCACACGAAACACAGCTTTCTTAGAAGATTTGTCCTCTTGCATCCACTGTTTAGGTGGTTCTATCTCTAAAATTTTAGCCAATCCTTTTAAAGCTTTAAATAATGATTTTGAACCTCCGCCAGACATCTTAATTGTAACTTCTCTAGTGTTCTCATGCTTTTCCTTTAATGGCTCTGGTATTATACCCAAAGTCCCAGTAAGTCCTAGAAAACCCTTTTTAGCTTTCTTTAGTCCTTCATCTTCCTTTTTCTTTAAGTTCTCCTTGTCTAGGTTAGTTAAATCACTTAATGTAATGGACTGGCTTGGTTTAGGTTTGATTGGAATGGGACATATTATGTCTATGCTTGGACTGGAAGGCCTGGACATGATGTTCGGGGGTCCAGCTAGATTCTCCAGCTCCTCATCAGTATCATCTGGTTCAAGATCATACCAGGTCATCATGTTATCTTCCGCAACAACTGCTTTCTCAGGTGAATCTGTTCCAGGTTCTTTCTTTATTTCAACTTGACTCTTGTCAGACTCTTTCTCTGTATCTTCAACTTCTTTCTTTATGCCATTATTTAGCTTCTGCTCAACACTATCCTTCTTATCAACTGCCTCAATACATTTCTTTCCCTTTTTGTTTCTTGGAAGAATATCTGGTTCTGGACTTGATGAATAGAATAGATCTGGAGAAATATACCCCTCATGTCTAGGATAATCTAATCTGCGCTCAGCTGTGAATTCTTGGTTGTAAAATCCTCTCTGATTGACACTCAAGGGTGGTATATGTGGGACTGGCGGCTCAACTCCAAATGGCATAGTAGAATAGTAATCCCCTTCTGAGATAACACCTCCAAATCCAAATGTCCCATCAAGAGTACACTTTTGGGCTTCATTTTCTTTACTCAAAACCTTAGCAATGTCTCCAGTGCCATATGCAGAGCATGCATTAAAACAGTGAGAGAGTCTGGGTTCCACAGTTGGTATAGGAGGGAGATTTTTCAACTGATGCATAACAGTATCTATATAGTTGTCATAATCTCCTTCATCTAATCTTGAGCCTTTCCTTGGTCTCTGCTTCTTTAGTTGGGGTCCATCCTGTATAGATATTCTTCTCTTTTGCTGCTGAACAGAGGGTCTTCTTTTCAGCTTATTATCCAGCATTTCAGGAGTAAGTGATCCATCCATCCTGTCAGATCCTGGTGTTGGACCCCGGCTTGAACCTGTATCATCCATATCATTCTCACTTCTTGGTGTCAGAGCAGGTGAAGGAAGTGTGGAGCTATTTGGAGTACAGGGTGCCCCAGTTCCCATCTGCATCTGATGTGGAGGAATATTTAACCTTAAGCCTCCAGTGACACCAGAATGTATTGGCATTCTACTGCCAGGAACCATTCCGACCATCTGATGCCTGATCCCAGGATTGGATACTTGGTTGATCATTTGTTGCATTTGACCCATAGGCCGGGTCATTCCTACCTGAGAGTGTGGATACTGTCCTGGAATAGGACCCCTGTTCCCAATACCAACAATTTGTTGAGGTGGGTCAAAGTTCATACCCTGCTGCTGTTGATGCTGTTGTTGCTGCATTCGTATTTGCTGCTGTTGCATCTGCAGCTGCTGATGCCTGAGCTGCTCCTGCATTTTCTGCTGATGAAGTTGCTGTTGCTGTTGTTGGTAGATGGTCTGTTGTTGCATATGCTGCTGAGTTGAAAGTTGGCCAGGTGGCACAGGAACCTGGGATTGGAGAAGGTTCTGAATACCTCCTGACATATGGCGGATAACATTCTGCTGTGGAATGGGAGGGCGCTGGATGATACTTTCTTGATTTGGTTGCACCTGTACAACTCCTGCCAAAGAATTTGGTGGTACAGGTTGGTTAGGAAGCTTTGCCATTGAAATCTTGTGCGAGTTTTCAACCAACATTCCAGCCAATCCTTCTTGCATGTTTGCAGGTTGATCCATTTTTCCTGAAGACATGCTAGAATGTATACCTGAGGTCATAGCAGTAGAGGCTGACATTCCAGAGCTATTACCAGAAGGCATGACAGAATGATTTGTGGAGGACATTTCCACATTCATCCCAAGATGCATTCCACCAGACATGCCCTGTGAAATTCCAGCTTGCATGCTCTGTGGTATTCCAGAAGGAGTACTCTGCAACATTCCTGATGGAATACTCTGAGACACTCCACTGGAAAAACTCTGTGATACTCCAGTTGGTATGCCTTGAGGTATGCCTAATGCAATGCTGGAAGACATGCTATGGGGAATTAATGAAGATTTGTTTGAAGACAATTGTTGGGCCAAAAGAGGAGATTGGGATTTAGCAGCTAGATGTTGGGATTGGAATTGCTCATCCCCTGGGCCTTGTTTTCCTTGATTGATTTCAGTGGATACACTTGGAACTTGGGAAGCTAAGCTTGAGAGTTGAATCTGAGGTGGTTCCTTTAATTCTCCAGTAGTTGACATTGATGGCACACTGTCTGATTTGGGAGGAATGGTAGAAGAGCTGAGAAGTTGTTTAAGTAATACATTTGTACTTTCTCCTTTGTTCATTGATAAATCTCCAGTAGGTGCTGAAGAAGTGTTGGATGTGGGTAATGCCATCATCCTTGGGCCTTGATAAGCATTTGTTGTTATTAGATTAGAAATCATCCGAACACCTTCTTTTGTAGTTGGTATGTTCTGTGTTATTATATTGGTGGTATTCTTATTAACAGTTGGGAGTGAGAAATTTGAGGAAGAAAGCGTTGATGATTGGAATGGCAGATTGCCTGGTGGAAGAGAAGTTGGATATGTAGAATTATTTGAAGTTGAGTGGGGCGAAGAGAATGATGCTTGACTTCTGAACTCCATACCAGAGGTGGTTGTAAAAGAACTAGAAACTGCTTGGCTATCTTGCACTGCATGTGTTGGGTTTAGTTGAGAAGGGTTATTTGATACTAGAGGCATGGGAGGCACAGAAGAGGGCTCAGAACCTACTCCAGTAGAACTAAATGGAACATTAGTGAAGGGATAACTTGGGTTGTTAATATCAACCTGGTTGGGTAACCTTGGCAGATGAACAGCTTGTCTTGAGTTTAATCCACCTGGAATACCAATGTTAGCTTGATGGATTGAGCTTGGGGGCATCTTATGATGATCAGGATCAGAAACAGACAACTGAACCTTGGACTCAGCTGTGGAGGGGTTCAGTATTGATGGATAACAGCTAGCCTGGCTGGAAGTTGTGTTTACTGACATTGCAGGAGACAAACTAGGAGTGGTGTTAAGACTGTCCTGGGTGGATACCCTAGTTACAATGACAGAGCTGGTTGAGGTACTAGTCTCCAGGTGGGGATTTAACTCCTCTGAAGATGCTGGCAAGCTTGAAACAATTGTTGTGGGACCAGCTTGTGTCACAGCTACCGCTACTGTAGTTGATTCAACCTGGGGAGTTGCTAGAGGAGTACATACGGGAGGAGAACCTCCTTTTAATCCTACAAAATATCCCCAACCCCCTAGCTGAACTCCTATTCCAGAGAACCCTATGCGAGGACCAGATCCACCTTGAAGCCCAAAAATACCATCTCCCCAACCATGTCCTGGTGGAGCAGGGATTGCAGGGTGGTGAGGACTTCCTCCACCACCACCATGATTGGAATTCATCATTCTAACTTGGTTGATCTGAGGAGCCTGACCTTGGTAACCTACTTGTTGGTTATTGATAGTGTCAGGACTAGGAGAAGGTTGAGGCCCTGGGGTTCCGGGAGTTTGGCGACCAGCTGAGCCAGGGGTCTGTCGTCCCGCAGATCCAGGTGTATGGGGTCGGCCTGAAGATCCAGGGGTAAGGGGTCCTCCCTGGCTGTTAGGGGTGCGTGGAGTTATAGGACGGTCCATGGCAGGACTTGGTACTCCACTACTGCTGGTGCGACGAAGAGGACTTATTCCAGCTGGAGTAGCTGGACTTCCGACACCAGAGGCATGTGAGGGCGACATTCCACCTCCAACCCCTCCAGGTCGGATTGACTGTAAACCTTGAACTCCAGGCCTGGTTATCATCATTTGCCTAAAAACCAAGCTGATTATTTTCATAAAGTGATATTCATTGGATATCTTTTCTTCAATATTTACTTATCCCTAATACAGAAAATATAACCCCTAAAAAATCAGCCCTTCTTGCAAACAAACCCAACATCTGGAATTTTTTTTAAGAATTAAAGAAATTATTTTGAAAGAAAATGTATACCCCTGAAGTTCAGAGAAAATATTTTTGAGACAGGACATATTACAAACAGATTTCTGACACTGACAAAAAGAACTTCTTTAGAAGTTAGAAGTTCTAATCTGTCCTACAGTAATACAAAAGTAATTTTAATTTTTGAAATTGTTCCTCTCTCTATCTGTAGCCCCCCCCCCCCTCCTCCTGCACTCAACAAATATTGAAGATTGTGTTCACCTTTGAGGTTGCTGCATTTGGTGATGCTGCATCTGCTGCTGTTGCATTTGCTGTTGCTGCATCTGAATCTGTTGATGATGAGGAGGACGCATAATAGGACCACCGGGTCTCATCAATCTCATACTTTGCATCCTCATCTGATCTGCCCCCATTGGTGGTCGCATTCCTGGCATTAGGCCAGGCTGAGGAGACCCTTGGGCCATGCTATAACTTGGAGACATATGCGGTCCATGGTTCTGAGATAGCATTGGGGACATTGTGTTTGGTGGGCGCTGCATTCCACTTGCCATGTAAGGATTCTCCTCCTAAAATAAACACTAAAATAAGAGACACTAAAAATTGAAATAATTATGAGAATAAGAACAATAGGTTAAATCTAAAATACCCCCCCCCCCGTATGGGAGAACTAGATAAAAATATGAATTGTTTAAATTCTCACCATGCCATGAGTTTTGGGAGATTGAGAGTGAGGAGAAGCAGAAGAATAATTTCCAGTTATATGGCCTGCTGGACTTGCTGGTAGGCTTGGTTGAGGAGATTGACTTGGATGTGGTGACATGCTAGGATGAGGTGACATGCTAGGATGAGGTGACATGCTTGGATGAGGTGACATGTTGGGATGCGGTGACATTCCAGGATGTGGAGACATTCCAGGATGAGGTGACATTCCAGGATGAGGAGACATATTAGGGTGAGGGGAATGACTTTGAGAATGCATGGGAGAATGTCCAGGTCCAGGGGAAGGAAGTGGACTAGTGGTAGGAAGCATTGGAGATGTCATACTTGGTGGTCTTTGTTGACATTGAACAGGGTTGGGAGAGGTCACATTAAAACTTCCAGGTGATGTCACATTAAAATGTCCTGGTGATGTAACGTTAAAGCTACTGGGACTTGGCTGACCCATTCCAGGGGATTGGCTGCTCATGTGTCCCATTGGTGACTGCTGTCCAGCCATGTACTGAAGACTCTGACCAGGACTACCAATTACCTGTCCCTGTGGGGACATCATCCTCTGCATCCCTGGTCTTTGTAGTATTATACCGGGTCCCATCATACGCATCTGCTGCCCCGGCTTCTGTCCCATTCTCATCATCATCTGCTGTTGCTGCATCTGCATCTGCTGCTGCCCAGGCTGCTGATGTAACATTTGCTGCTGCTGAAATCCTCCAATCATTGCTGGGCGGACCTGTGGTCCTCCTGGGGTAGCAGATCTTTGAACATGGACCATTCCTTGATGAACCATTCCTTGCTGAGGCATACCTTGTTGTACAGGTTGTACCATGCCTTGTTGGGCCATACCAGGTTGACTCACACCTTGCTGTTGACCTTGCCATTGACCTCCAGGTATAACCTGCGGCTGTCCTCCAGGTCCCATTGATGGACCCTGTTCTCCTGGCATCCCTGCAGCCTCCAGAGCTTTCTGCTTCTTCTGCTTGTGATCTGCGATGATCATGCCATGCTGGCGGGACTGCTTCCGAATAGACTCAAGAGACTTCTGGAGTCCGTTGGCCTCACTATTCACACGCTCCAACTCAGCGGCCTCTAGTTGTCCCAACTCATTCCCATTCTTGTTCATAGTTCGCTTCTTAGAGTTTAATGACTAAAAATAAAACAATAAATATGAGCAGGAAGTTATTTAAAAAGTAAAGTTTTAGGAACACCAACCTTTCTTTGCTTTCTTAGCTTGGTAATTTCTGTTTCATAATACTTGAGCTGCTGGTTAATTGCTCCATCTTGTTGCTGTAACCATTGTTCATATCTTCCAACCTGAAATTTTTATTAAAAATAACTTTTTCAATGTTCGATGTTTTTATTTAATTTTTATTTTGGTCATTTTCCAATAACAGTGAGGATTGAGGACTGAGGAGTGAAGATGATATAAAAATATATCAAATTTATTTTCAAACTCAAGTTTTTCTATCTGTGAGAGTGAATCTATTTTTGGCCAAATTACAGAAATCCTGATTTATTTATTTATTTATTATTCACCTGTCTTCGTTCCTCGTCATTCTGTGGATTGTCTGGACAGGGTGGAGCAGGTGTGGTCTGGAGAGGTGGCGGGGGTGGTCTTTCAATCATGGGTGTAGGAGGACCAGGTACAGGTCCAGGACCAGTAAGAGGTCCAGGACCAGGACCAGGATGAACTCCCATCTCGGGACCGCCTACCGGGTTCCGCTGCTGCAAGGTCACCTCCTTAATAACGGAATATTGTTTAAAAATATTTTTTTTTAAATAAAAAAACTTGGTTACGACTTTTCTTTTATTTGTTTGGTTTCTTAAAAATCCTTTATTACCAAACTTTACTGAACTTTTAACAATAACTATAGTACTTGTTGAACACAATTGCTAAATTTTCAACATTTTTCATCCTGACCAACAATTAATTATTATTGGGGCTAGGTCAGGTCTCTAACAGGGCTTGACCTGATTGGTGTTTAAGCTATTTTCAAACCATCAGACCAGGAAAATAAAAGACAGGGTTTCCAACAACGAATGAGGCTTCAGAATTGACTATATAGAGTTTATGGGTCTTTTTTCTTGCATTCATGCCTCAAGGTCCCCTACAATTGTAAACTTGATTCTTCCTTGCAAAATCATTTGATATTCAGACTTGAATTCTTTTATTAAAAAAAGTTCTGGACAACGTTGAAATCTCCTCCGTTGTGGGGTAACCTTTAAGGTGAAGCTTGTGCAATGTTCATAGAGATCACGGAACCTCTCTTTTAATGGTTATCCGGGGATTCCATTTCGTTGAACTTTGCAGATATAATTTTTATTTCTATTTCTCGAGATATAAACAACTGTTCAAATAAATGGTTAAACATGTATACATCTATATTCTATATAATTAAGTAGATATGTATGTTTGTCTGTATGTTTTTCCGATTAAACTCGGGAACTCCTTAACTGATTTGCCTCAATTTCGATTGGGAAACTCAATAACTTAATAATGATTAAAAATTAAATTTTTTATGAGATAATAGTTTAAATTTGGGTTCTTAAGCTAGTTTCAAGTTATCTTATTTAGGTTAACAAAGTAATGCATGTTGGGATTATATCCAGTAAAATCCAGGGATTAGTAAAATTCAATAGTTCAGTAATATTTCTGTTCTAATCCTGCAGGTACCTGAGGGTGCCTCCAGACCTGCGCCTGTATTCTAGGTCCCAGCTGTCCTCCTATTTGACCGGCCAGCATCGGTTGGTACTGACGGATCCCAACCGTATTTCCAGGCATGTTTGGCCTGAACAAATAAGCATTTAAAAAAATTCAAAAAATAGTAAACTTAAAAAAACCTTTTTTTCTCGTTTGTTCACTTTGGCAAGGTTATGAAAAATTGATAATCTTGATAAACAGTAGATTTTGAAAATATAAAATGGCTTAAAATAACTGTGACATAAAAGTCGTCTCTGTTCTTCATCTTAATAATAATTGTCTCATGATTTTTAATGAAACTTTTTTAGTAATAACTTAGTTATGAAATACCTTTGAATTCCTTCCTGCAAATGCTGCTGAGCTCCTTGATTTAGATTAGCTCCGGGTTGCTGCTGAAGCTGTTCTCGCTTCTCCTGCTCAAGAAGGTCCTGGATAAGCAATGGCTGCTCCTGAAATGATATTAACAATCCAAATCTTCTCTATAAAATTTCCCCCAAAAAAGTTTGGCCACAAAATCAAGTCTGGCTTTCATCGTACAGACTTAATATTTGTGTTCTATCATAATTAATTTTTTTTAAATTTTTAAATTTTAATTTTATCTAAAACTTTTTTATAAATAAAAAAGTTTGTCTCAAATTTTCTTCCTCTCAAATTAAAAACAGCAAAACAAAAAATTTATAAATTTATAAAGTGGCTTGGTCGCCCTATGTATTTTCAGATAAGATAACGAACTTGATGATTAAATATTTAATGAAAGAACAACGAGAGATAAAACTTTTAAGAAGAAATCATCAAAAATTATGCATAAGGGCATAAATGCATAAAGCTAAAATGATTGATTGGTAGAAGGTAAAAGATCGGAAAAATACTTATACGATTTTTCTACGAGGAGTTAACACAGAAAAATTTGAAAGTTTGTTACCTTAGTTTGTGGGTGTCCTGGTGGTGCATATGGAGGCGGAGGTCCCCGCCCACCTGGCGGTGGAAACTGGTTTCCAGTGTAAGGCGGAGGATGCGCCGGTTCTCCAGGTTTAACATTCACCTCCTCCTCTCCATCCAGGTCGTCGAGAATATTCGTTTTGGACGAATCGTTTCCGTCCAGCGCATCCGCAAACTCAAGGATGTTGAAGTTGTCGCCAAAGTCACCGAGCAGGTCATCGTCGTTAACACCAAGGTTTGCGTCAAGAAGGTCAGAGGATCCGTCACCTTTATCCTCTCCACTCTGAAATTTTAATCAATGATACATTTTTATTACACTTAATAAAAGTGCAATATTATCTTAACAACGGTGTTAATGGGGCTGTGAGCATAATTTAAAGTTACCCTCCATGAAATGATGGTAATGCCCGATTTAAAATTATACTTTTAAAAGCTTTGTGTGATTAAATATGAATTTTATTTCAAAGTTAATAATTTTAAAACTAGTTATTTTTAATTGTGGTTTTTCTCCAAAAATAATTGGCACATATCTTCTGCAGGAAAGCATTGATATAGGAAAATGTATAAATACCTGATGAAGGCCCATCTCCCCTTGGCCTGGAATGCTTTGCGTATCCCCCATACTAGGCCTGATCAATCAATCATTAATCATTAAATCAATTATTTACTTATCGTCATTTAAACGTCAAACCAATCAATCAATCATTTATCCATCGTAGTTTAAACATCAAATGAATAAATCAATAATCATTAATCGTCACTTAAACATCGAATAAATCAATTATCTACCTTTCGTCACTTAAACATCAAATAAATCAATTATCTACCTATCGTCATTTAAACATCAAATAAATAAATCATTTATTAATCAATCAATTTTTCACTTATCGTCCGTATCACTATAAAGCAATCAAAAAACAATCTATCAATTATTTATTTATTATCTATATACAGAATTTCAAAATCAATAAAAAAATATTGGTCTACCCCCCCCCCTTTCTCTCTTTTCTAATAATACGGTATTCAACTCAGTACCTTGGACCGACAGGAAGTGGTGACCGGAAGTGCGTCTGCTCTCCAAGATCTCCAGTTTCTGCAAATATTCATGTTAAGTTTGATATCATTTCGGAAGTGAAGAACTGGAAGTACAGCTTATTTAACACAACACCTTATGGGATTAAATCTATTCGCAATCTGGATCCGGATCCAAGGGACAAAATAACATTTCAATCCCTCAATGGTTAATCAAGTTTCAACAACAAAAATCGGAAACTTATGATTCGTAAAAGAAGCTGCTAAAATCTTGACTGCTTGGTCTCGAAATGGCAAGATTTACTTCAAGGAGAAAGATGATCCAGATACTATTAAAACTGCTTAAATTTGTCCTTTATCTCATTACATTTCTGCTCATGTTGCCTTCCATTTTTAACCAAAAGAATGGAAACCTTTAAAAAAAGCTTGCTTCTGTTTTTTTTAATCGCTTTTTTTAATATTTATTTCATTTTGGTCTTTATTCTTTCTTATATGGTAGAAGGAGAAGGATTTTATCTCTTAAAGCACAGAAATCCCTGAACTTTGCACTGATTCATCCTTATTTCCTATATCGTCTAATTGTTTACAGCTGTACATATGCCAAAAATATTAAAAAATTGTATCTATTGCAAAAGAGATGCATCAGGCTAATTTGCAATGCTAAGTAAAATGCCCACACAGACCCTCTTTAGAGTCCCCCAAAAGCTTAGGAATTCTTGTCATTATCAAATAGGTCCCTTTTATTTATAGCTACAAATTTTCACATGTTTAAAAATTCTTATTTTTCTCAACTAAAACAATTATCGTTGGAAGCTTAAAAAACATGCACACTGAACACTGAACACTGTACAGGGTGGGAAACATTAAACGTCACTCTTGTATTAAATAATAACAATTCAGATGTGTGCATTGCAATATGAAATACAAATTTAACTCGATAATAAATATTTGTAAATATTCCTTTGTGGTAGAGAGTTTTTCAACTGCTTAAAAAAAACTTGATGGTTCTCAGAGAAAATATATTTCGAAATTTTAAATATCCTTCTCAATTCTTGAGGTGTAGTGTATAAGTTGTCTATATTGTATATATAAAATGTATTTTTAATTTATCTTTATCCAATGATATATTTTTGTTAATTATAAAATAATACCTAAAATCTAGACATATTCTAAAATGTATATTCAACTTTAATGAGTTTTCTATACAAATTTTACTATTTAAAAGTAAATATTCAACTCTACGGTAATTTGACTCTTAAACTATTATTTTATTCTAAAACGGCTATTTAAATCTAAAACGGTAATTTAACGGACTATTTATTACAAAAACGGTTATTTAACTCAACAAGATTATTTAACTCTAAGGCGGTTATTTTATTTAAAAACGAGTATTTGACGATTAATGAACTTTTAAACGATTATTTAACTCTAAAACACTTATTAAACTCATAAACGGTTATTTCACTCTAAAACGAGTATTTAACTTTAAAAGAATTATTACTGTAAAACATATCCCAGATATTTGATTATCTCCTGAATGAAAATAAACTACAGGATATTGTTGTATGAAGACTGTAGAGGGTAGCATATTAATGTTTAGTAGGAAACACAGGGAATATTTGTTAGGTTGTCGAAATAACCTTTTACAATCAAGGATTCAATCAATCAATCATTCAATCAATCCTGTTGTACCTGGAACCCAGACTTTTGTAGTTGAGACCGGGGTTCCAACAGTTGCCCCCCCTGGATGTTCTCCAGGTGAGGGTATGGGGCGCTGAAGGAGATTACGGAGATGGTTGGAACTATCAAAACTTTTACCACCCAACAGAGGCTGCAGAAGTACATGTGTTTATAAACTAAATCAACCCTTTGATATGCCTTATAGGAATTTTATTTAATTGATTAATATTGGTCTTGCTGGGTTTTCTTATTGCTACATGTATTGCCTGTGAAAGACGAGCAGCTAAATGGGACATGCTTCCCCCCGTGGGAGCATAGGAGGAGGATGAAGAGGATGACGATGAGAAGTATGATAGGGTTCCTGGTTCAGATTCATCACCTAATCAAGACGAGAGAATAAGATCCAGTCCTGTAGTATCGAGGAAACTTAATTTCCGCAGAAATCAGGGTTGTAAGAGAAATGTGCGTCCTTCACCAATGCTTTGTGCGTCCTTTACCATTAATTTTGGAAAACCTGTGCGTCCTTCACCAAGGTTTCAGAAGACCTGTGCGTCCTTCACCAATCACCAGGGTTTCAGGGAGACCTGTGCGTCCTTCACCAGGGTTTAAGGGAGACCTGTGCGTCCGTCACCAGGGTTTCAGGGAGACCTGTCCGTCCTTCACCAGGGTTTAAGGAAGAACTGTGCGTCCTTCCCTACATACTTGAATGCCAAGCAGAGAACAAGCAGTTAAAACAATTTTTTTCCCACCGTGCAGAGTATAGTTTATCGTCGTTGTTACACGAAAAATTATGCAAATTTGGTAGAATTATTAAAATTAAAGTTTGTTTGTTTCTTTGAATTCATTGAAACCCTGCATTAACTGACCTAACATTAATTATAGCCCGGCCCTGAACCATAAAAAGATAGTTTATAGCTAGTTCCGTTTATTGATGTATAATGCATTAAAAAGGAAGATAATAGCAGGATGAGAGGGGATGGAAATTATAGGAGGAGAGGGGATTTTAGAGAGGAGATGGGAAAGGGGGGAGGAGATGGAAAGATGGAAGGAGGAGATGAGATGGGAAGGGAGGAAGAAGGGATGGAAGGAGATAAGGAGATGAAAAGGGAGGGCCGGAGAATGGATGGAAGGAGGAAAGTAGATGGAAAGGGAGGGAGAAAGGATGGAAGGATAAGAGGAGATGGGAAGGGATGGAAGGAGGAGGAGATGGTAGGGGATGGAAGGAGGAGAAGAGATGGGTAGGGAGGGAGAATGGATGAAAGAATGAGAGGAGATGGGCAGGGATGGAAGGAGGAAAGAATAGGGGATGGGTAGGGATGGAAGGAGGAAAGGAGAGGAGATGGGAAGGAATGGAACGAGGAAAGGAGAGGAGATGGGAAGGAAGAAGGAGGATTGATTAAACAGATTGTAAACTTCAGAATGTGGTGTTGTGTTTGATCCACAAAACTAAAGGGTAAGTGCACCAACACCAGTGAAGTAATTGATGATCTAACCTTCACCCGGGGCCAAGGAAGTTAGAAATCTGTATTTATGAATGGAAAAAAGAGAGTAGTCTGTATAGTCATGAATGGAAGGAAGTGAGTAGTCTGTATACTCAATACTCATGGACAGAAGGAAGTGGGTAGTCTGTATATTCATGGATAGAAGGAAGTGAGTAGTCTGTATAAATAGAAGGAGGTGAGTAGTCTGTATATTCATGGATAGAAGGAAGTGAGTAGTCTGTATATTCATGAATAGAAGGAGGTCAGTAGTCTGTATATTCATGAATAGAAGGAGGTCAGTAGTCTGTATATTCATAAATAGAAGGAGGTGAGTAGTCTGTATACTCATGAATAGAAGGAAGTGAGTAGTCTGTATATTCATGATTGGAAGGAAGTGAGTAGTCTGATATATATGAATAGAAGGAAGTAAGTAGTCTGTCTGTATATTCATGATTGGAAGGAAGTGAGTAGTCTGTATATATATATGAATAGAAGGAAGTAAGTAGTCTGTCTGTATATTCATGATTGGAAGGAAGTGAGTAGTCTGTATACTCATGAATAGAAGGAAGTGAGTAGTCTGTATATTCATGAATGGAAGGAAGTGAGTAGTCTGTATATTAATGAATAGAAGGAAGTGAGTAGTCTGTATATTCATGATTGGAAGGAAGTGAGTAGTCTGTATATTAATGAATAGAACGAAGTGAGTAGTCTGTATACTCATGAATAGAAGGAAGTGAGTAGTCTGTATATTCATGATTGGAAGGAAGTGAGTAGTTTGTATATTCATGATTGGAAGGAAGTGAGTAGTCTGTATACTCATGAATAGAAGGAAGTGAGTAGTCTGTATACTCATGAATAGAAGGAAATGAGTAGTCTGTATATTCATGATTGGAAGGAAGTGAGTAGTTTGTATATTCATGATTGGAAGGAAGTGAGTAGTTTGTATATTCATGATTGGAAGGAAGTGAGTAGTTTGTATATTCATGATTGGAAGGAATTGAGTAGTTTGTATATTCATGAATAAAAAGGAACTAGTTTTCCAATAAAGTTAAAATTTCTTCTTATATATTTATGCATTTACAGTTAAACTGTACCGAATACACCTTTGTTATGCAAGTCTACCGTAGAATAGTATATTAAATGAATAATTAAAAGCGACGTAGGACATATTGAGATTCTGTGCATAACAAAAGAAAACATCCTCAGGAAACCGAATAGTACAATAATTACATTTTAGAAATGTAATATGTAGAAATCTATATTTTTAAACCTCCGATAGAAAACCCTAAAAGTTCAGCAACATTGTAAATTCAATGTAAGAAGAAAACAGGAGAATAGAACCATACAATATCTAGTGAAACGTGTTTAAAACATGCTGTTGGTGCGGTTTAGAGAAAAAACCTAAGGACTTGATTTTATTTTTCTGTTGACATCCTTAGGTTTTTCAAGCATTAGGCAAGATGCTTAGTGCAACAAGCATGACATGGATTTTAAATATAATTTTTAATTACTGTTGATTTAAAAATGTTCAGATCTTGATCGATCAAAAAGTTCTGATGTAAGACAATCAGGGGCAATGATTACATATTAAGATTGAGGATTATGTACAAAGGATGAGGGGTTCAAGGAACTGTCGTAATGTTAAGTGAGATCCCATTTAACAAATAAAAAAGAAAGGCAAGTCCGATTCCCGACGGTACCCTTTAAACCTTTATCTGATCAATGAGATATTGTGGGTTTCTTGATTGAAAATTGTTTAATTCTGATAATTTCCTTCCATTGTATCTGCAGAGAAATGTGCAAACTCCAGTTGAAAAAATGAGTTTTTAAAGATGACTGATTCTTTCTTAATCAGACAAAGCTTTTTAGGTTTTGTGAATCGGAAGGTGACAATGGAACTAGTTTAAAGCTCACATAGAAATTTAAGAACTAAAACATAACAAAATAAACGTCTTTGACGTCTCATCCTTTATGGGTAACCCTGTATTTAAGCATTTATAGTTGATAAAACAAAATTAGAATTTTTGAAAAATGAATAAGAATGTATTTAAAATAAAACTTACTAAGATGCTGAAGTGGGTTGTTATCCAGACCTCTAGGTTGAACACTTTGAACACTGTGTACTCCTTGACCTCCTTGTACTCCCTGACCTCCTTGTACTCCTTGAACTCCACCTCCCAGATTTACCATAGGTTCACCCTGAACAAACGAATATTTATATACTTTTAACAAATACTTAAACTTATTTATCAATTTTGAATTTCATAAAATTCGTTGATTTTCAAGAAAAGTTTAATTTCAGCAATAAAACCATGATTGTTCTTTTGTGGGGGGGGGGGGGGAAGAGAAAATTAATACCCAGCCCTTACTTTATGTTTCCAAGATAATGCAAGGGCTCAAATAAATTTATCAGTTTTTCACACAAAAACATTAAATAAATTGTTAACCCTAATAACAGTTTGCGGGGAGGATTTCAGTACAAAAAAGCATTCCTATAACGTTTCTAAAAGATTATTAAAAACTAAAAAACAAACCAAACTAAAACACTCAACCAAATCTCTGAGTCTCTGCGTTAGTAGAATTGCTACAACAAAGTTCTGATAAGCAAAATATGTGCATTGTAATGTTTGCTACTTTATATAATATTATTAAGCACCGCAACTACAAGTAAAATTCTGGTGTTACAATTTCATGCAATGTAAGATTCCTGATTATTTGCCGACCACGGAGCAGAAGGAGACTACACACAATGGTTCCTTAAAGGGAGAATTACCCAGGCCCCAGTTAAGCCTTACCCAATTCACGCGACATCAAAACATATTCTTTTAATGAAATCAAAAATCTCACAACTTAATGATAGCATTTTTTTCTGAATCATTTTTTTTCTTCAAAAATCATTTTTAAAATTAGAAATAAGAAGAAAAATCTTTCAAATCTCTGCTAGCCTATACAAATCTCGAAAAGTAGATTTTCATACTGCACTCGATTTGCTATTCCCCCCCCCCCCTGTCTATTTCCTGGTTAACATGAAGGGAGGATAAATATTTATGTTCGGCCCTGGTTCAATCAAAACTATTTCAATTTGATCAAACTAAAATTATCCTTCACCATCACATGTAATGATGGTCTTCATTCTGAGACCCGTCTTTAAACATTCATAGTTTATTTTCAAATCTGATTTTCCTGAAGTTTGCTTTTATAATATTATCCAAAATGTTTCTATGAACGAAGTGTCAACAAAAACGAATTTTAAAAACGATTTGTCAAAAGCAAAATCGTGTTGGTTAATATTTTTAAATAATATAATAAAAGCATAATTTGGATTAGGAAAAACATCTGATATGCTTGTTCAGCCTCTGAAAAGTTCTAAAAACCTTGAATGTTTAAAAACGAACCGATGCCCATCCCTAGTCACATAAAATTATGTACAAAGCTAAACACAACCTTCCCTTCAACCCAACACGATAACAGGGTGTCCAGAGAATTCATATTTTAAATGTGAACGGGTAAAATAAACTAAAATAACTTAATATTGTAAATATGCGAATGTCTTCAAGAAAAAGACTGAAGAATCCAAATGAAGTAAATAAAGATCAAACGTAATTCTGAAAATTAGGTTTTAGTAAGAAAATTGAAAACTTCAGGGCCATTTTTCTCTTCAGAAAACAGATCAGCAAATACGACCATTAAATATCTATTAAAATGAAAGTACTCCGCTGTGAATCTTAAGAATCTAGCAGATAAGTAGAAAAACTTAGTTTCTCTGGTACACCCTGCAAAACTGACCAGGGATTGATAGGGGTCTCCTGGTGACCCTATCAGGGGCATCATTGGATCACAGGGACCTAGTAGACCCTCACACGGGGATGCTAGATCAGAGGCAAAGGGTGAGAGGGGGTAAAGAGGACAGGGGGATCTGGGGTAGGAAGAAATAGAGGGTAAGGGGTTAGGATCGGAATGGGAGAGGCGTGTTTGGCGGGATCGAGCCAACTTCGACTAAAAATAAGTAAACTCTCTTGAAATAAAAATTAAAGATTAATGTCTAAAAATATCACACTAAACTAAACTAATAAATAAATGAATAGAAAATAAAAAAATTCAGTCAAAGAATTAAATAAAAAAAGAAAGAAAGATATTTTCAATGTAATCTTGCCAGAGCTAAAAATTTTAGAATGGTGGATATCGAGATAATGCTTCATCCTCCCTTTTTGCTAATCCCCAGACTAATTTAATCTTAAGATTAATTTCTTGAGATTATAAATGCGCTCTTTAACTTTTGAAAACCGGTTTTTAATTTTTCCCGCACTTGTGGTGTCATATCAATCGATTAAACGAACGTAAGTTTTGGATTTATGTTTATAAAGACAGTCCTCAAACGTGATAAAATATGTTTTTAATAAGTTCATATTCACATTATTAAATTTATATTTCTTCAAATCCTCTAAAAGCTGGCTTGTGAACAGCTGACTTTTATAGTTCAATCGGATATTAGTCCAATCGATACAGCATCATATCTGTATTTGTAATCTAACGTATCATTATTACATGTAGTAGAAAATGGGATATCCAAAAAGAGCGGATCAAAATTAAAGTTAAAAGTTTCCACAGTGGATATATAATTATTCAGATTAAGCGATCAGGATTAAGGGTATCCAATTCTAAAGTTTTCAGCTCAGGCTACATTTTTGTTGCATAAAACGTGCTGGGTCGACTCTACACTGGGTAGCCTGACTTGACAGTACGAATGACTGCATATAAAGTACGTGCTGTACCGGCACGGATCATGCAACTTTTAGGCTGGGGTATTTTTAACTACTTTGTACTCACCATAGGTCTGTTAGTCCTGCTGGCTGTCCTATTCTCGCGTGCGCGTGTTACATAAGGCGCGCGTCTCTCATTCGGTAAAGTTTTCCAAATCTTCCCGATCTGTTTTATCCTATCATTCCAGCTTGGGAACTCCGCCTTGAGATTCACGTGATTCACGTTGGCGTAGAGGATCATCGCTATTGTAGCCTGGTCCCCTGAATATAAGCAGGGGTAGAAACAGGGGTACACAATTTTGATTATCTTGGGGAAATACTTTTGGATACTTTTGACCCAATTCCTCAATTAAGCGAAAAAAAACACTTAAAAGATGTCTTGTGGGAAAAAAATGATTTTCCCTAGAGACAAATTTTGTTGAACATTTAAACCCCTTCCTCCCATATTTCAAAACCTTTTTTAGCATTAAAAATGTTAATTTATTACTAATTGGCTTTCAGGAGAAAATAACACTCATATTTGATAAATGAAAAATTGTAAAACAACAATCAGGAATTTAAACTAAAAAAGTATTTCATTGAGCGATATTAGCTATTTAACTCACCTAGAGGTTCGTCAGCTTCCCATTTCGCCATATGCGCACCTTGGGCGCTCTCCTTCGTAATCCCAACAACAGGGTTCCCTTGTCCTCCAGACTGTGCACTTAGTCCAACCTGGGTCCGTACAATTTGACCAGGTTGTCCTTGATAAACGATTTGGCCTGGTTGAACATGTCCCAGTTGTCCTGGTTGACGTATTAGACCCGGCTGCGCAATGTGGCCGATTTGTCTGGGCTGACCAAGTTGACCGAGCTGAGGATGTCCTGGTTGATTAAGCTGACCTTGGATAGTTTCCCCCATCTGTCCAGGTTGAACTAATTGTCCTAATTGTCCAGGTTGTCCAGGTTGTCCAAGTTGTCCTGGAGGTTGTCCTAACATCATTCCTGTAGCAATGGGTCTCACCATTTGCATCTGTCCTGGTCTCATCATACCGGTTGGCATTTGTCCTCTTATGTTTATCATTTGTCCTCCTACATTTGACATTTGTCCTGCAATATTAGACATTGGTCCCGCAGTGTTTAAAAGCTGTCCTCCTGGATTTGACATTTGCATTTGTCCTCCTTCATTAGAAATTTGTCCTGGAACACTTCTCATCGGCATCTGTGACATTTGACTTGAATTTCCCATTTGGGACATTTGTGATGAGTTCAACATCTGGGAACCATTTTGTCCTCCCATTGAGGTCATGCCCATAGACGCAGTAGACATAGGCGTTCCCATTACAGAACCAGGTATAGTGCTTTCCATTCGCATCTGAACAATTATATATAAATAGATTAAATACTTGAGTTTGTTATAACGCTTTATAAAAAACAATGACGTCTCTTAATTACCTGATGTTCTAAAGTTTGGAAGCCCTGTTGGCTAGAAACAACAACTCTGGAACCTAAAGTATTCTGCATTGTCATCGGTTGCTGTTGCATGGGTGAATGAGCTTGAGGCATGCTCTGTGCTCCTAGCTGAAGTTGAGTCCCAGGCATGTTTTGTTGTCCTGGTAACTGCCCTCTGATAATGTTCTGATGTCCTGGTTGTGGTGGTCTTAATATATTCTGCGCTCCCATTGATAATCCTGGAGACATACCTTGTGATTGTGGCTCTGGTTGCCTAGGTGCTTGTGCTTGAGTGTCTATTGGTGTTGAAGGGTTGGTACTGGATTCAATAAAGGAAGGAGCTAAGGTAGCTGCCTGATTTATTTGGTTGGAAGTAGAAATCAGTTCCTCCTTGATGGCAGCAGAACCAGGAGACGAGGATTGAAAGGAGTCAAAATTTTCAGACAATTTGTTTAAGGTGTCATTAACAGAGCTTGGCAAGGGATCATTAGGCTCCATCTTTATCTCAGTTTTAATCTTAGCCTTCTCCTCGTTGTCAACAATTCCTTTAAGTATATCCTCCATATCATTAGCATCAAAGTCTGGACCCAGCATGTCCCGTAACCCTGCTTCAAGTTCGTTGTTAGCTGTACTTGGATTGACTTCATCCATCTCCTCATTAACTTCCTCAGCCTCATCCAGAGCACTCTCGTCAATATCAATTTCTCCACCATTCATTAGTTTGAAGAGATCATCGCCGAACAAATCACTGGGCAGCATCAGATCTTCATCATCCATTTTCTCATCTTCTTTGATAAAGCTCTTACTGTCCTTGATATCTCCGTGCTTGAGAGCATCTAACTCTTCCTTTGCAAGTCTGGCTTTGTCCACAGCTTCATTAGCTGCAGCTTCCGCAGCTGCTCTAGCATCTGCCAACTCCTGCTCTTTTTCCTTTTTCTCAGCTTCTTCCTTTGCTTTCATTTCCTCCAGAGCTGCAAGTGCATCTCTGTTTAAAGTCAGCGAGGTTCCTTCATCTTGCCTTGCAACTCTCTTTGGGTCTGCTAAAGGTAATTCATAGTTTTCATCTACCTTATCAGGGCACTTAACCATAAAATCTTTACCAAAGAAGGAGTCTTGAATATATTCAGGATACTGAACTAGAATTTTGTTCTTCTTTGGTCTCCAGACTGGGCGCTTCTTCTTGTCCTCTTCTGGGGATTCCTTTTTGTTGCTTGTCTTGGGAGTTCTTGTTTTAGCCAGAAATCCTCCAATACCGACCTTCTTGAGATCTCTGTATCGCTTCTTTCGGAGAACCATAAGTCCATTATCCTTGACTACAATTGTGAACCCCTCAGGTGCATCAGGTGCACTTCCATCTGCTAAAGGTCTAACAACATCCCCATCTTTATGATGACTTTGAACAACTGAGGATGGCATTGGTTTATCATCATCCTCATCATCATCATCACCCTCTAAGCTATTATCATGACTTCCTCCCAAGGGATCAAGAGAGTTAAACATATCAGGACCAAGACGTCGCTTCCGTCGAACTCGGTCTTTTTCTATCGTCAGAGATTTGAGATGCTGCATCCCACGTTCACTCAGCATGATCCCATCCAGCATATAGCTGGCGTTGTTATAGAAACCTCCATAAACTGGATATTCAGGACTGGGCGGGGGTGATGGAGGTTTAGTTGCCTGCTCTCTCTCCTCTTGGGTCTGCATAGCAAGATGTGGGGGAAGAGCTTCAGCTGGCCGACAAAGCTGACAAGAGTATCCAGCCACGTGACATTTCTCCGCATCTTCTTCTGTCATAATAGAATCACATTCACCATGGCACCACCTAGAAATATTACATTTATTAAAAATACTGTAATTACATATTTAGGGTGCAATTTTAAAGCATTTTTGCAAGAAACAAGTGCGAGAATTTAATCAATTTCGTAAAAAACACCTTCCAATGCACTGATTTCGTCATGGATTTTGTTATAATATGAATGTCCACCAAAATTGAATTGATTTTTACTATTTATGAAGAAGCAAGTATTAATCATAATGTTATGGATTTTGATCAAGTCAATTTTTCTTTTTTCATTTCCCCTACTTTTACATTGGTTTTAGACAATGCTGAATGCTGATTGGTAATAACTGAACCCCCCTTCTCCTCCTTCTCTCTCTTTTATTCGAAAATGACTAGAAGATTGTGTTCACTAACCTTGAGCAGTTAATACATTGGACAATAAGCTCACCCTCCTCATAACCCTCCTCACAGAGAGGGCAGAGCTGGAGGGAGTGACACTGACCACAGGTAGAGTAGTTATCAAACCAGCTTGCATTTAATCCTGAACACATGGAATCATGGTTTAAGATATAAAACATACTTAATGGCAATTCTTGTATAAAATAAGAACTGTACAGTGTACATAGTACAAGAAAAGATCTGTCAGCTATCTTGGAGAACCCAGAGCCCAAAACTTAAGAAAGTGTATCGTCATAAAACCCAGTAATGAAAATCGGATTTCACGAATGGGGTTCGGCAATTTTGTAGATATCAATATACTTTTAATGAATAATATTTTACATGGTTAGTTTTATGTTCTCTCTTTATTTTATATTCTTTCATGTAAATCTACACAAATGTAAATACCCCAAAAATGAAACTCAGTTTTGTTCAACGATACTCTTTTAAATTTCAAACTCAGACTGCCAACGAGTTACATACAGAGCGTCCCATATAATATCAGATTATCTCCAAGCTTTAACGCCAAAATACGCATAAAATACTCGAAAACCTAATATTTTCTGCAAGAAAACTTTTATAAAAAGCTTTTACGTTTTTTAAAAATGATTCATTGTTTATAAATTTTCTGATTAGTCCCTAAAATCCCAATTTTGAGCTATTCACGATCTAATATGATGTGGGACACTCTGTATAATCGACACTGTAAAGTTTGCCTTGCCAAATTTACAGTCTGGTTTTTCACAAAATAAATAAGAACAGTTACGATTTAAAGATTATCCAAGCATAACTTTTCTGAGTCATTGAATTAGGATTTTGAAACATGGGGAATCAAATCAAAATTTATATCACTCTGATTTCAGAATTATGGTTGATGGTAAGTAAAAAGAACCTGGCGTATTTGCACCACAATATTGACAAACACTGCACCATTTACATTTCCAGGCACCACTTGGCACAGTTTCTAAACAGATCAATTCATTTGATTTACATTTCCAGGCACCACTTGGCACAGTTTCTAAACAGATCAATTCATTTGATTTACATTTTTACATTTTGCAATATCAAATAAATTAATGGAAAATAGATAAAACATTTTTTATAATATTTAAAAACTAGACATTTTTTATCAATTATTGCTTGCCTAGTAGCCTAATTGATCAATTATATACGTTGTGAGTAGCAATCAATAATCAATCAATCAATCAAATAACTAAAAATGGGATATAACCGGAAATTTGCAAACCTAAGGGTGGATCTGTACAGTAAGTATGATATGAGATATCACAGTCGTCACAAAGGATAATATTTGCCTCGTCATGTTTCCTCCCACATCCTTAAATAACAAATATAGGAATTTTCTTCGGGGAAAAGCAAACAAAAAGTCGACAATGAAACATGCATCTTAATTCTTCAAGGATGATTTCTGAAAAAATTAAGCAAAAAGTTCTAAAAAAATAGTTTTTTTTTTCACTTTAAAGATTTACCCTTTCACAATAAATAATTTTTTCGTAAAAAAGAAAAAAAATCTGGCGATAAACAAACGTTTTCTTTCACATCGAGCCTTTACATCTTAGGAGAAAAGGATTGTTGATGGGTGGGGAGGGATTGGGAATAATTTTTAACGTTTCTAAAATTCGTATTTCAATACGAATCTTTTGATTTCAAATTTGACGTATTTGGAAGAAATTTTTTCTCGCTTGCATAAGAAAACTTTTCGACTTTTCAAAAACCGGTTTCCGTATGGCATTTCTTTTCTAAGTGAGCATAGTGCAATTGTAAAATTCAACCCGTTAAGAAAACACATATGTCTATTTGTGCAATTTGGGTCCAAAAACCCCGAAAACCACAGTTTTTACTAAACCAAAGAGGGGTCTGGCCCCCGTAGCCCCCCCCCCTTGAGTACGCCTCTAATAACAATTGTTTTTTTTTCAATTCACCTTCACAGACGGTGCAGTCGAGACATCTCCAACCTTTCTCAAGGATTATCTTGGTAACCTACATCAAATAAAATATATGAACAAATAGTCTTTTAGGGCGCTTCGCTTCGCGTCCATCTTCTATTTCAACTTTTAATTGTGTCTCCATCTGTGAGCATCGTTTTTTTCGTAAAATATAAAACAAAAACAAGTTTGCGGATATAAATATATTTTTTCGTGCAAGCCCAAGCGTTTTAGCCATTTTGACGTTTATTGGACACAAACGGACAGACAGACAAACAAGAAAAGTATATGTACAGATACTGACAGGAAGAAAATTGAAAAAGATTTGTATATCTACGGTTTATTCCCCTTTACTACCCAAAAAGTAGAAAGCAAGCAATTTAGTGTCAACTCAGGCGATAACGTTAAAACCTTCCTTTCTATTTATTGTTAATCAAGTTTCTGCGAAAAGGGAATCAATTTTCGGAAATTTGTAATTGGTGAAAGATGTACGCAAAATTTAAAATAACATTGATGAGCTGGATTGGAATGTTTTTCTACAGGACGGATCCAGGATCCGGATAAAAATTAAATTAATCCTAAGCACTGTAAGTTACCTTGACATTAACACAGTGTGGATGGTAGCATTGACCACATTGGGCACAGCCTATCAGTCTACCTTCTAGATCATTACCAAGGGATCCACACATAACACAAATATCCTATGAAAACAAATATTTATCTAAACCATTTCTTTTCTTTTCTGCTTGTTGCTTTGTCGGCACCCGTTTCAGAATTTTATTGCTTCTCTTTATCTCATCTCTTTGCAAATATTTTCGTTACTCTGTTAGATATTTCTTTTTACTAGTCGTCATTACTAATTGACTTTACTGCTTGACTTTACTACTTGACTTCACTACTCGTCCTTAATACTAGGCTTTACTACTCGTTTTTACTACTGGTCTTTACTACTCGGCTTTACTCCTCGTCTTTACTCCTCGTCTTTACTACTCGGCTTTACTCCTCGTCTTTACTACTCGTCTTTACTGCTTGGTTTTACTACTCGTCTTTACTATTAATCTTTACTATTCGTCTTTACTACTTGGGTTTACTACTTGTCTTTTCTACTCTTCATTACTACTCTGCTTTACTCGTCTTTACTACTCTCTGGAATCTCTCTGCATTCTCTCTGGATTCTCTCTGGATTCTCTCTGGATTCTCTCTAGATTCTCTCTAGGTTCTCTCTGGGTTCTGTCAAGATTCTCTCTAGATTCTCTCTAGATTCACTCTAAATTCACTCTAGATTCACTCTAGATTCACTCTAGATTCAATAAAGGTATATAATCAAGTTTCGTGTGATCTTTGTGAACAATTAAAGACAAAAGTGTGACTATCTCCTCTAACACATGATAAGCCTTTATATAAACTCTCCTTATTATTTCTAGTTATGTATAAGAGACAGCTGGTAACGATCATCCAACTCTAGAGCTATTAAATTCTCCGGCCTAATCAACTTTGTAAGTGTTACCTTAATTCATATAAATTTGTCGCAATTTGTTTACATTTAGCACATTTTAAGTGTTATCTTAATACCTAATTGTTGTTGCAACTTATTCACACTTAGCACACCTGGAGCAAATTTTAATGTAAACTTGGCTAATTTTATTTATTTAAGTTATTCTATTACTAATTTAATATTTATGCAACCCGTGACTGATGTATTGTTTTTCAGTTCATGGGTCCTAGCTCTGTATCGCTGTACCAGAAATAAAGAATATAAGAGACTCATGTGTATTAAAGAGGTGCGCAATGGAGAATTGATGTTGCCCCATCATGTTAATAGCTGAACAATTCCTGTGGATCTAGGTATTGTTTCTAGGGAAAATGCTAAAATTCCCAAAACGGGCACATAGATTCTCTCTAGATTCACTCTCTAGATTCACTCTCTAGATTCTCTCTAGATTCTCTCTAGATTCTCTCTAGATTCTCTCTAGATTCTCTCTAGATTCTCTCTAGATTCTCTCTTAATTCTCTCTTAATTCTCTCTAGATTTCATAGCTTCAGTTTTTCTTAAGATATTCTTAAACTTTGAACTATCTTTAATTTCTCTTCAAATTCTATTAAATTGATCTTTAAATTCTTTTAACAATTTTTTTAAAATTTCCTCTTGGCTTATTATTTTACTTGTTTTTACTTTGTTTTGATTCAGATTCATTTCTTACAAAATTATAGTGTTTTTTTTAAAGTAGAGGATATACCTGAGTGAGAACAAACTCGTCCTGGTTGCTGAGACAGATCATCTTGTTGTCCTCCTCCAGATCCTCCGGCTTGAGGCCAGGTTCTCCTTGGGGACGCTGTAGTCCAACCATACCTTAATTAAAACAATAATTGGAGACAAGTTGTCAATTAAAGATTAATAAAAAATCTTGTTAAAGACATGGTATTGTTTATATGATAATCTTATGAGTAAGAAATGTAATAATGGAAATTCCTAAACGAGATGAAATGATGTTTTCTTATTATTTTCACCTTTAAACTTAGGAGTTCTGCCTCTTCTAGCCCGGATCTCAGCAACTCTTTTCTTCTTCTCAGAGAACCCAGATCCAGAACTGGACAGGGGGGAGTCACCAGGACCTAACATAATCAAATAATCAAATAATCAAGCAAGCACGCAATCAATCAATCAATCAATAGTCGAAACAGTGAAAAATTTCTATATTTTCTGGTTAACGATTAATAATCCATTAATGATACTTAATATATCATTAATCAAGAAACAGTGAAAACAAGTTAAGAGAATATTTAGCAACCTTTCATTTGAAGACTCATTAAAACTTCCGTTGACAATACATCTATGAATTATGTTAAAGGGACTATATGCGAATCTTCATGCTAAGATGACAATGCCCGATGCACAACGGTACCCTAAAAGCTTTGTCCGATGTTTATAATTTTTAAAAGTGATGGTTTTCAACTTCGGGTTCTGTAAAAAAGTTACTTGCGCATTTCTACTACAGGAAAAGTTATCAGAATTATCAGACACTATTAAACCTAGATAAAGGATCGACAATAACTTCAGCATTATTAATAGAGGTTTAAAGGGTACCATTGTGAATCTGGTAAAGCCATCTTTGCATGGAGGCTCACTGAAAATTACGCTTTCAGTCTTTTTAAAAAGTTATTTGTTTGTTAAATAATCATGTCATCGCTAAATCGTCAACTAAATTACAATCCATCAAATCATTTATACTATTGAACTGTATGTTTTATTTACCTGGTAAGCTCTGTTGGGTGCCCCAGGAGAAACCACGGTTTTTATTTGCTAAACAAAACCAGTAAAAATCTCAAAATGTACAGTAAGAAAAGAACTGTTTGAGAAACTAAACGTGGGTAAAAATTCGAACGAAAAATTATTTTAAAAATAAGTTTTTCACCACTTTGCTAAAATAGTTTAAGACAATTTCAGGGCGGTTTAATCTCTAAATTGATGGAAATATATGATTTGAAATTTTTAACTTTGGGGTAAAAAGTTCAGAAAGAACTAAGGAGCATACTATTGCTTAACAGTTCAATTTTCCATTTCACCCCCCCATTTTTGAAAAGTAAGACTGACCTGACTCTCTTCGTCGGCCGGCGATGGATCATCATATGTTCTTGATATCGGAGCGTTGAAGGTATTGCCGGCGACCACGCCAGGAGATTTCATCGTTTGCTGTCCTTTACAGATCTTACACACGTACATGTAGGTGAACTGCTCGGCTCGTTTCTCCAAAACCTTAAACGTAAGATTTGTTACGCTAATTAAAAAAAAAATTACATTTCACTATCGGTCTTAAGATAAGGAACGACATAATAGATTAAACGTAAAGGAGGGAGGGGGGGGAATAATTTAATCCTCGTTTAGTATTCTAGATAATTTTTAAGTGTTCCTCCATCTAAAGGGGCATTCCCGATTCACAGCTGTATCCTTGAAACCTTAAAACCGTAATCTGTTCAAAAAGGTGAAAGATAACGTTTTACTGGCTTAAAAAATTTAATTTGTACAACTGTCGTCATTGTTTCAGAAGCAAGAAATGCGCAAGTCACTTTTACAGAGAACCCACAATTGTTTGTTTTAGTTATACATCTCAAAAAGAAAGTGTTGAAAAAAAATTATAGATATCTAATTGATTCAAGTGAACGGACAACGCTGTAAAAGGTACTGCTGTGAATCGGACATGCCACTTAATCAATTGATGATTACGTTTACAGTCCCTTGCACACTCAAACGGTTTTCAATAAAGTAAAGGAAGTTATGCTTTTAAAGAAATGATTCAATGAAACATAAATGATTGTAATAACATAAAATAAGATAATGGCGAGAGATAAACGTAAAATGTGAAATGAAAACTTACAAAGTTTAAAGATATGTAACTAGAAAGGAAAAGAAACAGCAAGATTACGGACAAGTCTACAAAACATAAGAAATAAAAATAAAAAAGAGAATATCTTCCACATTATTGATCAGATATAGGTTTAAGTGAATTGAAATTGTGAAATTACAACGAAATTACTCTTCTTGTGGATTTTCATTTAATTATGTGCTTAAGCTTAGTTCTACCTTGTCTTCGCTGGCGTCTGGATCACAAGCACTGTGGACGTGCTTCCTGCAGGTCGAGCACTGCATCATCTCACGCTGCGCAGAGTGTCGGTATGCGCGCCCACAACAAGGGCACGCCAACCCCTGAACAAGTCGAGTTAATCAAATTGAAAAATCCGTGAATACTGAATCTACAAATACAGGTCCCATAAAACTTGAAAAATAAACCACTAGGTTTTAATCTATGTTTTCACGTAATAATAATAAATTCAAAATACAAGGTTTGTTAAAGCAGAGATATCCATGCTATTAAATACCTTAATAAAGTTTC